GGTGTTGAGTCCTAGTTTGGTGAAAGCAGTTAGTGAAATTCCACAAATGATGGGCCTGGCAACACAAAATCTGAGAATGATTTGGGGGACTAGATTATGTTGTATCCATTTAAAGTTATACTGTAGGACCTACAGTAATGGTACAGATATACTACTATTGTACTAAACAAAAAATAGCCAGTCCTGAATTTCAAAAAAAAAACCCAAAACTCTTTTGCAATTAGACAGGAACACACATCTGCTTTCATTGCCATATTCTCAGTGAGTCTAGAATAACCTTTCTATTTCAATCTAATCCTACATTATTTGAGGAACCCTATATCACCAGAATGCCTCTAAACTCCAGCTGCTGGAGAGCAGTGGAAGATGGCTGTGGTTATCATGCTTAGCCTGAGGATCTGGTTGACACTTAGAAAAAACAGATTTTCCATCTGATACATATTGTGGGCACTTTGGGCTATTGACTGTAAGGCATACATAGCAGTTTACCATCAATGAGGACCCAAATTGTTGAGGGCAATATGTTGACACTGTAAACCTCTTAGAGGGGGCTGTAAAGCACTGTGAAGCGGTATATAAGTCTAAGTGCTATTGCTATCTATCGTGGCTATCTAAATGGTGCTGATTAAACTGATGTAGAGAATATGATAGCGTAAAGTTATATACTGATTTCACATTTATCCCTTTAACCCTTCAGTAGCAAGGCATTGTGGGCAGGATCATATGCATGATAAGCGTTGATACGAATTTAAGCGCAGTTGTCGTATACATTTGACTTTTAAAATGATTGTTAGCCCACATTTATCAGGTATCCTAATTCCACTTTCCCCAATTTAGACAAGGCTGATATAAATCTGAACTGTTTTCCCTTACAGTTTAGCACTTGGCTCCATCAGTGGACACGCAAGGCAGTACCCACATCTCTGTGTGATCTGGGTTGACGCCCATGCTGATATTAACACTCCACTCACAAGCCAATCAAGAAATCTCCATGGACAGCCGGTTTCATTTCTTTTAAGAGAACTTCAGGATAAGGTAAGTTGGGATTGCACGGCGATGTAACAAGGAATAGCACTTACTGAGCTATCAGTACTTTTTTTAAATTGGAAGTAAATTTTAGAGATCAGAGAGGTGACATCATATGTCTCCTAGTTACTAGTTTGTAGGGACATATATCCTGAACATCCAAGAGTGGTGTTCTTTGGGATATATTATTGTTCGCATAATTCATAAAGATGCAAGCACCTCTGCATTGAGTTAGTCAACATAATTTGAGATTGGGTGGCTATTGGTTTACTATATGGCAATTCTATCGTATAATCCTTTCAGAATAACACACATGTGTTTACATAATCCTCATTTAGTGACTGTCTCATTTAGCAACCATTTGCAGTTATAATGATGGCAATTTTGCAACCATTCCTCACATTTATGACCATTGCAGGACTGTATATGTAAAGCAACGGTAAGCTGAAGTAAGAAAGATCATAAGCATGGTCATGTTTTTACTTAGTGACCACTTCACTTAACAGACACAATTGCAGTTGTAAATGAGGATTACCTGTATTTTCTACCTGCTAGGAATAGTTTTGTAATTTGATGAACTGAAGCTGAAAGTTAATAGCTGTACCTGCTGGTATTTCTGCAGTTTTCCTTCCAAAGGAATGATCATCCATGGATGTGTTTTCTATTCAATAGAACTCTACCTTGCAAGCCCCCCCACCCCCCTGGTAATTTAAAAAGCACTTGTTTGATCATATCCACTTGAAAAGTACTGTCGACTCAAGATATGGGAAGACTTGGTTAGCTAGATTTACTTCCTGCTTTCAGCAGCTCAACATGGTTATCATTCTTACCCAAACTGGGCAAGTTAAAATAACACTGTAGCTAAATACTCTTTTATTACATCTAACTCTTGGAAAGTGGTACAATCAGCTAAATCTGAATTGCCCCTAGGGCAGGGCTAAAAGTATGGTAACTTGGGTTTATCTTTTTTTAAAACTCTCATTAACCCTAGTCAGCTGATTCAAGAAATTTATCAAACAGCACATTCAGAAATCTGAATAAGCATTATAAAAGGGCACAGCAGGATCTGATGTTTTCATCTAGACAATTAAATTTCCAATTGTTTCGTATAGGAGTGCAATGACACATGTAGAAAAGAGGCATGCTTTGCAGTGCACACTGCTTTCCACACCCACATTCCTTTTTTCACCTCCCCGAGGAGCCCTCTGGCCATCAATGAAGTTCATAATACAGGTAGTCCTTGACCTACAAGTTCATTTAGTTTGAAGTTACAACGGCACTGGAAAAAGTGATTTACAACCATTTTTCACACGTATGACCATTGCAGCATCCCTATGGTCACATGATCAAAATTCAGATGCTTGGCAATTCAGACAGTTGCAGTGTCTCAGGGTCATGTGATCACCTTTTGTGACTTTCTGACAAGCAAAGCCAATGAGGAAACCATCGTGTTATTTACTTAATAACTGCAGTAATTCACTTAATAACTCTGTCAAGAAAGGTCATAAAACAGGGCAAAATCCACTTAACTGTTTCGCTTAGCAACAGAAATTTGGGGCTCGATTGTAGTCGTAAGTCGAGGACTACCTGTATGTATTTCAATATTAGAATGTCTTCAAAAGCTTGTGTTTTGGATTACAGCAAATTTTATGGAAGAAACTAAACGAGATCAAGTGCTTTTATTGGGAATGTTGATATCCGTTTGGCCTGGGCTGGAGGAAAAAATACTAGTATCTTTAATCTATTACAAGTTATTTTTGTGGAAAAGAAAACGTTACATGACTGCAGCAATATCAACTAAAACAAGATTTCTATAACAGGATATTGGAGGGGTGGGGGGAGTCTATACTACCCTGTTCCCCTGAAAATAAGACATCCCCTGATAATAAGCCCAATTGGGCTTTTGAGCGCATGCGCTAAAATAAGCCTCCCCTGAAAATAAGCCCCCCCCCCGAAAATATTTAAACGCATGCGCAGCCAGTCCCCGCCATTTCTTCTGGTTTCCTCCACGTGCCCCAAAATAATAAGATTTCCCCAAAAATAAGGCCAAGCACTTATTTCAGGGTTCAAAAAAATATAAGACAAAGTCTTATTTTCGGGGAAACACAGTAAAATCATGTTGAGTTGACAAGATCATGGCACTCAAATAATATTTCCTAGACCAGTCTTTTTAGGATCATGTTTTTGTTATTTTGAAGGTACCAGTGCTTCCTGGATTTTCCTGGCTGAAGCCCTGTCTTTCACGATCAGATATTGTATATATTGGTCTGAGAGATGTTGATCCTGCTGAACAGTAAGTACATGATAGCTAGTTTAAATGAATGCTATTATTCCTTTCCTCCCAATTATTGCTATATTCTAGAGTGACTGCAAGGGTATTTAATTTTAATCTATTTTCTCAAAACAGTTATATTCTGAAGAATTATGGCATTCAGTATTTTTCAATGAGACATATTGATGATCTTGGAATCCAGAAAGTGATGGAAAAAACGTTTGACCATCTTTTGGGAAGGTAACATGTTTTGAAGAATATTTGTTAGGCAATTAAATAAGCCAGAAACCTGATCATTAGCAACCATTAGCCATAACCTACCGATTACTAGGATAAGTGACCTATTGCAGCTGAACTGTATTTAGTAAACAAAAGTATTCTCTTTTGTCAGAGGGCCAAGACCAATCCATCTGAGCTTTGACATTGATGCCTTTGACCCATCACTGGCTCCAGCAACGGGGACAACTGTCTTAGGTGGATTAACGTATCGTGAAGGCATGTACATTTCTGAGGAAATACACAACACAGGTAAAAACCACTTAAGAATCTTTTTTAAAAATTTGGATTAAGGTAACAAGAATCACAAAAATTGTAATTATATGCTTGCAGGATATCTATACTACAAAAATATTCAGAAATGTTTAAATCAAAATGTTAACAAAATAGAAGCTTGGATTCTTTTATTTTCTCTCTTTCAAGATTCATGAGGCACCCTGGACTGAAGACGACAATAACAGTGTTTTTCGAGCTTTCAGATGGCACCTAATTTAGTTTTCCTAGTTGATTAAAAAAAAAATACTATGCTATGCTGCCAAATTTTAGCATAAGATATATGGAAACGTAACTTAGAGAAGTCAATGTTCCCAGTTCATCCCCCAGTTGTTATCATTACTCCGTTTTGTTATCTGTGTATTTATATTACATTTTTCCAACCTTCTCCTTGACTCAGTTTAAAATTATCAGGGAGTTTTGAAGGCATAGATCATATTTTAAATATTTAACCATTCATCTGCTCTTGGCAACAACAAAATATAGAAAAATGAAATAAAACTATTGGAAATTACTATTGCTCTGGATAAAAGTAGGATTGAAGTATGATGCAACACGTAATGAGACAGATCTGTTATTTGGCTGAAGTTTTTTTTTGTTTGTTTGTTTTTGAAAATACTGCAAATTTCTGTCTCTTGCTACAAAATAACTCACTGCCTTCACTTTCTCAGGCCTGCTTTCAGCTATGGACCTTGTAGAAGTAAATCCATTCCTTGGAGCTTCACAGGAAGAAGTGAACGCAACAGCTGGTTTGGCAGTAGATGTGATCGCTACAAGCTTTGGGCAGACGAGAGAAGGAGCACACATTGTTTTTGAGAACCTACCAACACCTAGTTCGCCGGATGAATCAGAAAATGAAGAGCAAGTCCGGCTTTAGGATCTCCCAAGTGGCAGCAGATGCCACACAAAGGGCATTATGTATAGTTATGCTGATCTACTAAACAAATGGACAGAACAAAAATCAAGTGTACTACATTCTGAAGTCTTCACTCAGCTTTGGAGATTTTTTTTTCAGTTGGGAAGTCGAACTGTGCCACAAATTAATCAATATCTTCAGTATAAATGACTATCATATTATATTGCAGGTGTAGTTCATGGTTTGTTTTTTCTCCAGCCACATCTCCTCCCAGTAGCACTGCACCATTCTCAGAAGGACATGTCAAGACTGACAACAAGCCAGCAGCACTATATTTTAAACGTAGTAAAATACAATCCATCTTTTCAATCTGTAGTCAAACAGCTATTGCCAAGGAATGTCCATATAGTGGATCGAAGACAGCAAAGGAGAAAAGCTGCATCTCTTCAAGGCTTAGTGAAGAACTTGTAGTAGACGAGACCTCCCAGGATGATTACCTCCAGGATGATGATGACAGAGAGTAACAATTTATTTGTCATAAGTCTAGAAAGAAAGAGACACAAACTTTGTTGGTTTTTTTAAACTGCAAGTCATTACCATTTATGGAGTTATGGTGACCACAGAAACCATTCAATTTCATTTTAGGTAAAGCAAACCCTTTGCATGTTTACTCAAAAGCAGATCCCTTTATGTACTGCAAATTTTAAGGAAAATCCTAGATAAATAGGTAAAGGGTTACAGCCATTGTGGAGAAAATTAATGATGGAGAAGTAGAGTATTAACTATTTCTGTTTAAAACATCATGGTTCCTGAGATTCTTTATAAAACATCAAAATAGTCTTGCTAGAAGTTATAGACCCTCACTGTAGGGTATGAGAAAGTATAAAAGAATAGAGGCAGAAATATACTTCACTTCTAATTGAAGAGATAAAGCTGAAATAATTCTAGGTTTTGGCAAATGGGAGAGCACGAAGAGCGGAAAACCTGATAATTAATGGCGTGAATATTGTTTTTAGTAGTTCCCTTTTGTATAGCAAGTTCTTTCAATAAATAATAAACCTTATTGCCCCTGGGTTTTTTTCTGCTAGCATGCTAAAAACTGCTGCTGTGGTGGTGCATGTGGACATGAAGGGTCCTTTGGGGTCCAACTGCTCAGACTTCTTTCTATGGAGCCTTAGCTTCAGAAAGTGGCCAATATTTGTAACCATGCCTATTGGAGTGCTTTAAAGAACAATCCAGCCTTATGTGTCCTGACAAGATGTAGAAATTAAGACATTACACAGCATTTTATATAGTACAGGTAATCCTCGACTTATGACCACAATTGAGCCCCAAATTTCTGTTGCTAAGTGAGACGCTTGTTAAGTGAGTTTTGCCTCGTTTTATGACCTGTCTTGCCAGAGTTGTTAAGTGAATCACTCGTGTTATTAACATGGTTGTTAAGTGAATCTGATTTCCCCAGTGACTTTGCTTGTCAGGTTACAAAAGGTGATCACGTAATCCCAGGACAATGCAACCTTCATAAATATGGGTCAGTTGCCAAACACCTGAATTTTGATCATGTGAACGGGGTGTGTGTGTGTGCGTGTGCGTGCTGTAATGGTCCTAAGTATGGAAAACAGTCATAAGTCACTTTTTTCAATACTGTTCTAACTTCAAAGGTTCACTAAATGAATGTAAGCTAAGGACTACCTGTATTTATATAGCTTATTTTCTGTTGATTCTTCCATTCTGACAGGTGAGAGGCATCTTAAATTTAGGGCATATCCTATTTTTTTTTTTTTTATCTTATTCTTGTTCCAAGGGGAGGGTGGGAGGGAAATCAACCTACAGTATCCACTTAAAGAATATTATAGCTAGAGAAACATTTGAGTTCATGGTAGGATTTTTATCTATCATGTTCCTTTAGTTGTCTGGCAATCACTTTCTATATAGTATGGGGCAGGCCACAGTGCTGCATACAAAAGGAGGAACTGGCAAAAAAAGTGTCCCTTCTCTCTCTCTAGCAAAAACTAAATTACAAGATCTGGACTGCAAAAACCCGGGTGACTCCTAGATGGAAGAAAAGAGGTACATTTTTGCTGCTTTCTACTGATTGCCCAGTGGTTTGCACCCAGATGGGGTAGCCCCAGCAAAGCTCGGTTTGGATTTGTTCAGCATCCAACTCACAAATACTCCCACAAATGTTGGACTTTACATTTAATGCACAAATGCCTAAAGGTGCACCAGTCATACAAATTATATATGGCCCTAACTTGATTGCTCACTCCCACTACAAATTGCTGAACTTGACCCCTGAACTGCCATCTTTCCCACATTTACCCTATTTTTCAGAGTATAAGATGCACTTTCTCCCCCCCCCCCAAAAGAGGGTGAAAATTTGGGTGCATCTTATACACCAAATGTAACCCTGCCCACCCACTGGCTCCCACTCTTTGGCCTCTGCCTCCCAGCAATTTACCTCCTTGCAGCAAGCAGCAAATAGCAAACAGCCCATTTCAGCTTCAGCACAGCCTGATTAGCATAAGCAGTTGATTGTCGGTTGGATCAGCCTCCCGACCCTCAGCTGTTTCAGGCTGCCTACTGCTGTGCATGCCTCTGCTGCTTGCTGCAAGGAGGCAAACTGCTGGGAGGCAGATTTTTTTTTCTTTATGCTAATCAGGCTGTGCTGAAGCTGAAACGGGCTGCTTGCTGCAACAAGGCAAATTGCTGGAAGACAGAGGCAGAGGCAGATTTTTTTTTTCTTGTTTTCCTCCCCAAAAAAGGTAGGTGCATCTTATACTCCGGAGCGTCTTATACTCCGAAAAATACGATATATGAAAATAAAAGCCATTCTTCGATAGGGACATCGAAGGTAGGACAAGCCTATACCGAAGGAATAAGCTTCACAAAAATCCCAAACATACAAAACATTCTGATTCAAGATTCAGAGCACATTTTAAAGCATCATTTCACCAACCTTCTTGACATGGAACGTAGGATCTTCCGACTTCTGCTTAAATTTTCATTTGTGTTTACTAACTGTAAAGAAGAAAAAAACCCACTATGAACTCCCACCTGCTTGGCAAGGGATTACGGTGCTGCTTTTGACAGTTGGAAAGCATCATATGTGAAGCACAATGTTGAAATTAGGAGATCAAGCCAAACTTAGAGGAGGATATTTGGCCTCTGCTTTAAATAATATAACGATTGGAACATATCCAGTCAGCTCAACTCCTGTCCATAACATTCTGTAATAATAATTAGTTAGTTTACTTTATTGATTAGTCCTTGAGCCATATGAAAGTGCAGAATTCCAGACACAAATTATTACTAAAATCTGATAGACAATTTAAAATGGAATTGGATAAAATACAATTTAAAATGGAATTGGATAAAATACAATTTAAAATGAAATTGGAATAAAATATGATTTAAAATGAAATTGGAATAAAATGCAGTTTAAAATGATAGCTTTGATTAGCCTATAGGCCATATCAAAGCACAAGATGCAAACATATATCACCAATAAAATCTTATACAAACAATTTAAAATAAGAGTAGGGTAAAATACAATAGGATAGGATAAGATACAACATAATTTAAAATATAAATATATGAAATAGAATAAAATGACAAAATTATATTTCGATGTCACCCTTACAATCTACCCCAATCAGTCCCACGTATGCAGATTTCAACCAAACCATTTTGTTTAAGTACTGTGCTGTGTTAAATGTTATTTTCAGGTTCTGGCCGCACATAAAGTAAGTAGTTTTGATACGAGGATCCCAATGGGTCATTTGTTTGGTATATGGACCAAGGTACCTGTCTCTCACCCCCTTATACAAGCAACAGTCAAATAGGACATTAACCAGGTCTTCTACCTCTCTGCTCCGCAAATGCAGAGACGCACATTGTAGGGTATAGAATGGAATCTCCCATATCTGACCATTGTGTCAAGCTGCTCGAATCTCACTCACGAAAATATCTCCCTAAGATGTTTTGGCAGTTGCACCAGTAGTTATATGCTCTAATTTTGTGCATGAATTGTATGAATCCCAGTTCAGCTCTAACTGCTGCAGCAGATGTTCTTGGATCTACACCCAAAATACATCTCAAATGCTGGGACTTTGTTCTGGGACTGTGGTTGAATATAGACCCCAAACCTCTGCTCCATACAAGAGCATAGGGGTAACCTTAGCTTTGTATACTTTAATTAATAGGGCTAGGGACCCTGGGTAACTATGGTTCTTTAGTTTAAGCAGTAAATTCAAATAGGCGTTTGCTCTGAGTGTACTCCATTGATGATCGCAAGCCCAAGATCCAGTCTTGGAAAAGGTTACGCCTAAATATACAAAGGTGTTAAACTGTTCAATTGGTTCACCATCTAATTGCCACCTATGTCTCTGATGCTGATTTCCAAACACCATTATTTTTGATTTAGATTTAAATCAAATCAATATTTTTGATTTAGATTAGGGAGTTATCCTGGCAATAAGAGCTGAATCTTTTTAATAGCCTATGTATTCCTACTAGTGAATATGATAATAAAATCATAACATCAGCATAAAGCAAGCTGTTACAGTAAGTATTTAGGATCATCAGCAGGTGTACCATGGGATCCTTCATTAATCCTGGCAAGTCATTGATATATAAACTAAATAATAATGGGGCCAGGATACACCCTTGCCTTACTCCTTTATTTGTGTGAATCCTGTTAATCAGAGACCCATTAACCCCATACCGCACCCTCAAAGAGGTACTTGTGTAAACGGCTTTAATCAAAGCCGCAGTCTAGGTTCTATTTTAAGAGATGTCAGTTTACTCCATAGTACTTCTCTTGTTTACCATATCAAATGCTGCTGTAAGGTCTATAAAAACAGGAAACAAGGGTCTCCTCTTATAGGCATATTTGGCAATTAGATGGCTCAAGACAAAGCAGTTATCAATAGTGGATCAGCTTTGTCTAAAACCTGCTTGTTCTTCTGTGAGGATATTGTTTTCCTCTACCCAGATTTCAATTCTATTCAAAAGGAACCTAGCATATATTTTTGCTGCAATGCAAAACCTATGTATTTCTGTATTTTTTCTTTTATACTAATAGACTGAATTATGTTTCTGATAACAAGGCCAAATAATACACTATCCAAAGTAAAATCTTGGTCTTTTCCTGAGGGAGAAAAATATTGATAGTGAATCACAAAGATATCAGGTAAACAAGCAGCAGCATTTTGGGGCTGGTTAAGATTCCATTGTCTGTGTTGGAGCAGAGACCATGAATAAGTTTCATTACTGGACATTGATTATGTATTTATCTATCTAGTTTCTGAGATTTCAGCAGTATATTAAAAGAGAACTGTTATCTTTAAAATAAATTAAAACATGTATCTAAGGAAAATCAATCTCAAGAAAATAGTATTTGATTCTTTAGAAAAACTTTAGAAAATCTTTAGAAACAAAAAAAGTATTCTTTTTAAAATATATTATTACATTAAATAGCTGTGTAAGCTAAAGATTGCTATTTCATTGCAGTTTCCCGCTTAGCATTATCTCCATCATGAAAGAGCAAAGTCCCACAGAAAAGTGATATGGGAAGAGAGAATTGCTGGGAAAGTGGAAATATATTTTTTTTCGTAAGGTCAGAGAAACTGACAGAGAAATCTGTTGACAGAAGAAAAACAGACTGTTCTATTCCAGTGGCATTTTGAAAACTTACTCTGCCTTTGGTGCGTTCCAGCTGCTCACGTTGCCCACCCAGTTCTTCAATGATGTCACTACCAATTTGATCAGTTTCTGCGGCAATTTGGTGTGTCCGATCCAAGCTCTGAGTGGCTCGGTTCAAGCTTTCTGTTCCCTGAAGCAGTAACACCCTCTGAGACTGCATCTGAGTCTAAGAGACAATTAAGACCTATTTAAAAAGGCAGAAGGGATATTTTACCTTTCAGTATCTTCTTCCCTGAGAGTGGAGATTTAAGTCATACTAGCAATGTAAAAGGAGAATAAGAGAAGTTTCCTATTGAGGAGAGAAACAGCCTATTCTTTTGAGAAAATGTTGGCAAAGACACCGAGATGACCCCATCTCCCTGTCCAAACTATCTCTGATGACACCTAGGTTTTTAGTTTGATTCTGCAATCAAAAAATGTTCCTTATAGTACAGCAGAAACTATACATACAGGTTATTCCTCCCCTCCCCCCATTGATTCAAGCAAATGCTATCAACATTTGTATTTACAATCAGTTTCCCCCTCTTTCAATATAGATCATTCAGCTATTTTCTTAGGGAAGTGCCCCCAGGGATGAAGTCTACTTACCTTCCTTACTGGTTCAGAAGTATGCACTCTATGTGTGATTTTGGACCCTCTGCGAATGCACAAAGTCTTCTGCACATGCGCAGAGGGTCAAAAACAGGTTACTTCCTAGTTAAAACCAGGAAGTAATGACATCCGGGTGGTGGGCACAGCTTCGTGCTGCTGCCGCTACCAGTTCACTGAACCATGCGCCGCTGCCGCTACTGGTTCGCCCGAACTGGTAGCATTTCACCCGAGTGCCCCCCAACCTTTTGGGCACCAAGGACTGGTTCCATGCAGAGATTTTTCTGCGGACCAAAGGGGGTGTGGTTTTGTGTGCTGCCTGCATCCCATGGATGGGGCTTCGCTTGTTTATGTGGCCCAGTTTGGCATGCCACAGAACGGTGCCTGTCCACAGACCTGGGTTGGGGACCCATGTCTTAGGGGACAAAGGACTACACTGATGCAGACAGATATTAATAGTGTGCTGGACCTAAACACTATACAGTTTCAATGACATCATACCTAGCAATTTGAATAGTGAAGAATTATATAAACTGCTTGCAGTAAAATTCAAATGGCACAGAGCGTATTAAAAATGAAATTATTGTCAGTATGATACATATTTGACTTAGTAATCTTCAAGATGTGTGGCTAGATCGTTAGACATGACAAAACCTAGCGTGCTGTGCTTACTACTCACTTCCCTTGAAAGGAAAAAAGAAAACGTTTATGTAATTATTTCAGTGGATGCTGTAATTTTTGAAAAAATACCTAAATTAAAGTTTTTTAAAGAACCAAGACTGCTTGGTATAATAATTAAGGTACTGGATCAGAAACAGGGAAAATACTGATCCTCCTTTAAGATCAGAAACAGGGAAAATGCTGGTCCTCCAGTTTGTGCCTTTGGAACAGTCACTTTCTCTCCACTCAGTACACTTTAAGGTAAAGGTAAAGTTTCCTCCATACATGCATGCTAGACATTTTCGGCTCTAGGGGTGGTGCTCATCTCCATTTCTAAGCTGAAGAACCAGTGCTGTCCGAAGATGTCTCCGTGCTCATGTGGCCAGCATGACTAAACATCGAAGGCGCATGGAGCACTGTTACCTTCCCACCAAAGTGGTCCCTAGTTTTCTACTTGCATTTTTTACATGCTTTCAAACTGCTAGATTGGCAGAAGCTGGGACAAGTAACAGGAGCTGGCTCCTTTATGTTAGGGATTTGAACTGCCGACCTTCTGGTCGACAAGCTCAGCATCTTAGCCACTGAGCCATCGCGTTCCTCCACTGAGCCACCACATCCCTCAGTGCACCTTACAGGTTTGTTATTATGGGGAAAATAAAAGGAAGGAGCATCATCCATTCTAAGACATCTTGAGTTGTACAAAATAAAAGCAGGACACAAATCAAATCAATCAATCAATCAGAAATTAAAATACATCCCAGTTTGGCTCAATGATAATCAGCATACGAAAGATGCAACTAGACCAGGGGTGTCAAACTCAAGGCCTGGGATCCAGCCCGCGGGGTGCTTAGATCTGGCCTGTGGATCTGGCCTGGAAACAGCGAAGGACCATCCTACAATGCCACTGCCAGCAAAAACTGAGCTCGGGAGGGCTGTGTGCAACCCAGCCAAGCTCTGTTTTCGCTGGCAGAGGGTTGCAGGAGGCCGTTGCAGCCGAAAATGGAGCTCAGGAGCCTATTTTCTCTGGCAGAGTGCCGGGGCCACCACAGGCACCGACATGAGTGACGTCGAGCTGATGGACATGATGCCCACCCCGGCCACACCCACCCCAGTCCACCAAGATCAAATACAAGCCTTATGTGGCCCTCAATGAAATCGAGTTTGACACCCCTGATCTAGACAATCACTAGCAGCACTGAAGAGAGAAATAGCTTAATAAGCATTGCAATGTTTATATTATTTATAGTCTGCTACTTTTTATGTATTACAAGACTTAAGTAACTATCATAAATACATGCCAGTTGCCAAGAGTCTGAATTTTGATCATGTAGCCATAAGGATGCTGCTATGGTCCTAAGTGTGAAAAATGAATGTGAGCCACTTTTTCAGTGCCACTGTAACTTCAAATGGTCACTAAATAAATGGTTTTAAGTCGAGGACTACCTGTGTTATCAATGAGCTCTCATTTGGAAATGAGAACTTGGTTCTGTTTTCTCTTAATTTGCTAAATTCTCCAATGAATGCTCAAAAAGACCTTTACTTTTTGCAGAATTTGGAGAGCAGCGAAAATCCCTGAAATCCAGGAATAGCAATAGGACTTAGACTTATATACCGCTTCACAGTGTTTTACAGACCTCTCTAAGCGGTTTACAGTCAGCATATTGTCCCTAACAATCTGGGTCCTCATTTTACTGAGGGATTTTTACTACTGCATTTACTATTCAACTAAGCCCTCACTCCCTCTATTCTCTTTTCTTTTTATCTCCTCATTTTTTCAAGAAGAATCTAAGCTTGCTTCCAATCCACTGAGCCATTAAGGGTAGATAAATGTTTGTGTTTTAATACTTTTGTATTTTCTAATTGTTCCCTAAGTCAATTTGTCTCTTCTCTATAGCTCTTCTTAAGTCTTCACCATGAGCTCAGGCACCAGAATATAAATAAGATAAACACTGCAATGCTTATCAAGTATTTCTCTATTCAGTGCTGCTAACGATAATCTAGATGCATCTTTCATATGCACCCCTTCCTGAATAAGAACCTGAAACATGTTAACATCAGAACAACCTTTAAAATAATTGTATACTTATTACTTACTCTCTGCTCATTTTCCGTTGAGAAGATACCAAACTTTGAATTCCCACGTGCACTCGGAGCTACTCCCAAATCCGTACTTTTCATTTTCCTATGAAATGTGCTAAGGTCTCCTTTGTAAGTTCTAATTTTAATCATCATTTGATTACGGAAGGACACTGGGGCATATTTCAGTTCTTCTTCCATTTCCCTTAACTAAAACGTTTTAAAAGTAAACATGTATCAAAATCCTTGTTACATTTGTATTTGAAACATGAAATCAAGACTGAAAATGATTAATTTACCAGAAAGATTACATCACAGACCTAAATAAAAAAAAAAACTACTCAGTTTTGTTACCACTCTGATAACAAAAACAAAGACCAGACTCAAAAGAATGATATTTCACATTGCTCCATAGCAATCTTCATTGTAAACAATACAATCGTATTGTGTAATGCAATTATCTTTGTAGTGTTTTAAAGATAAATTATTATCTTTAAGTCTAATTCAGAAAACATATCTAGCATGAGTTTAAAACATATTTTTAACAGAAAGCAGATTAATTTGTTCAAATGGGTATTGCAAGCTTTGGCTTGTCTGGACAAATCATTAAATGGTAAAAAGAAAAAAGAAAAAGAAATGTTTTTAAAATAAATTATTTCAATCTAGTGTTTTTCAGTCTCCGCAACCCAAGTTGAAGTCCCCATGCTAGTTGGGAAATTTTGGGAGTTGAAGTCCATACATCTTGGCAACACCAAATTGCCAAGGCTGAGAAACACTGACTTCAATCAATATTAAGCACTTTATTAAGGTCCACCGTGTTTAAATCACTCTGGATTAGTTTCATATACACTAGGGTTCTAAAGCTTTTTTAAAAATTGTTCATATTCTTACCGTTTCATTTGCCTCTTTTAGTTTTTCATCAAACTCTCGCATTAACTTTTTTTTCTCTTCTACAAGATAAATTGTCACCAAAGGACAAAATATTAGTACAAAAATAATTCATACATGAAGTATATTATTTATACCTTTGTTGTGCTTGCTCAAGGTTTTATATTAATATTTGAGGAGTTTTCCATCTCTGAAAGGTGGCAACTGTGCTGTCACTTTCAATAATTAGAGGTAGATTGTCATATGTATATCTGGAGTTGCTCACTTTTTACTGGATCAATGATGGAACAGACTACCTGAGGTGCAGGATTTTCCTTCACTAGAGGTGTTTAAACTGAGAGTGGATGGACATGTATCTAGGATACTCAGCTTGTAGATTTATGTATTGCACAAGGGTGGATTTCAAATCTTACATTGTGTGAATTTACAAGAATACAGGTAGTCCTCGACTTAGGACCACAATTGAGCCCAGAATTTTGTTGCTAAGTGAGAAATTTAAGTGAGTTTTGTCCCAGTTTATGACTTTTCTCGCCATGTTTGCTAAGTGAATCACTGCAGTTGTTAAATTAGTAACACAGCTGTTAAGTGAATCTGACTTCCCCACTGACTTTGTCAGAAGGTCGCAAAAGATGATTACATGACCCCGGGACACTGCAACCAGCATAAATAATATGAACTGGTAGTCAAGATATCAGAATTTTGATCACGTGACCATGGGGATGCTGCAACGGTCGTCAGTGTGAAAAACGGCCGTAAGTCACTTTTTTTAGTGCCGTTGTAACTTTGAACGGTCACTAAATGAACTATTGTAAGTCGAGGCCTACCTGCATCTCTTGTTTAACTCTACATTGTCTATTTTGTCTTCATTAAGCATTGACGACCAGCTCTCCTCCTCTCTCTCTTTCTCACACACACAATTTCAAGAGATGTACAGATTGTAATCCAACGCTGCACAATGCAATTTGTTCCAGGTAAACAAGTCAGCAATTAAAAAAAATCAGAAAGCAGCTGCGGGGGAGATGGGATGTCGAAGAAGAGGAAAGAAGCCAAGACCTGAATAGGAGTGTTTTTCTTTTAACTGGAATAAACTCTCTATATAGTGTACAATGCAAAGCTCTTTCATCCTTCCTGAGGGAAAGGGACAGCCAACTCACCACGGGCACCTTGGCGGAGGACAACTCGCCACGGCCAACCCACCGCGAGACAACTCAACGCGAGACAATTTAACAACTCTATGTAATTATTAAAAATAAATGAAACAGTATTTTAATTTTTGCCCTTCACATTTCATTCTGTCCCTCCTCTTTGCTTCCCTTTAATGCTTCCCTTTAATGATTCTGTTCCACCATTTCTTTGATATTAGTGTAACTCTTGTCCTGTGGCGAGTTGTCATAGACCAGGAGGTCGCTGTCGGAGTGTGATGAGGAGGAGCTCGAGGGTTTACCGGGTGCCGGTAAAACGGAAACAAATCGGTGGCACCCTCCAGATACCAAAGCGGGAGGCTGAGTAGTCGGGGAGAGGTCTATGACAGGGGTGGGCAAATATGGCCCCTTTATGACCTGTGGACTTCAACTCCCAGAATTCCTGAGACAGCCAATCTGGCTCAGGAATTCTGGGAGTTGAAGTCCACAGGTTGTTAAAGTGCCACAGCGACCTCCTCCCTTGCTTGGGAACATCCACGGCATGGTACGCAAAGGCCCAAAGGCAAACCCGGGAAGAGGCTCCCCCCTCCCCCCCCCCGCAGGATTGGAGCGCCGCTTTCTTACGTACCAACCGCCAGGTTCCCGCGCAGCCTCTCCGGGGCGCTTTGCAACTCCCCATGGAGGCCGCGAAAAATCTCGTGCAGCCGCTCTAGATGCTCCGAGGAGCCGATGCCGCGGTCCGCCATCCCGCGAAAGTCTTTTTTTTTTTTTTTTCCCCCTCCCGGTCCGACGCCGCACTGGGCTAACTACCGGCTGGAAACCATCCTCCACCGACACTTCCGGGATAAGGGGGCGGAGCTTAGGCCGCATCCTCGTCCTTTTATCCCTTGCAGATCGCCCCGCCAGGGTGACTAAAGCAGTGCCTGGAAATAGCGCCGTCAATCGCAACAGCGCCGCCACCGTTGCGGCGGAGAAACAGTCACCTCTCTCGGACGGTGGGAGGGGGAGAAAATATTTGGGTTTGTTATTCCCACAAGGGTAGCAGCTGAATAGGAGAACGGATGGAAACCACTTCCATATTAGTGTCAGAACGAACCTAACTGTAAGGAGACAAAGTTAGGCTGCCACAAAGAAGAGAGGATGGAGGTGGGGGTGTCTCAGTTTATTTTCCAAAGCACCAGAGGGCAGGACAAGAAACAATGGATGGAAATTAATCAAGGAGAGAAGCAACCTGGAATTAAGGAAGAAACTTCCTTACAGTGAGGACAATTAACCAGTGGAACAGCTTGCCTTCAGAAGTTGTGGGTGTTTCATCACTGGAGGTTTTTAAGAAGAGACTGGACAGTCACTTGTCTGAAATGGTATAGGATCTCCTGCTTGAGTACGGGGCTGGACTAGAAGATCTCCAAGATCCCTTCCAGCTCTATTCTGGTTCTGATTTATTGCATGAATCTCCTCTGATCAATAGGAGGCAAAATTTTGCAAATAATATGGAAGTGGTTTGCATCTATTCTACCCTCGTACAACCTTCTTTAACGGTTAGTCATGGGTCAGAGAGGTCAGCTGGAATGACACAATACATCGATGCTCATTTAACTGAAACTACAGGTAGTCTTCGAGTTACGACCACAATTGAGCCCCAAATTTGTGTTGCTAAATGAAACATATGTTGTGAGTTTTGCCCTGTTTTACAACTTTTCTTGCCATGGTTGTTAAGTGAATTGTTGCATTTGTTAAGTTAGTAACGTGGTTGTTAAGTGGATCTGGCTTGCCCATTGACTTTGCTTGTCAGAAGGTTGCAAAAGCTAATCTCATGACTCCAAAACACTGCAACTGTCATATATATATGAACCAGTTGCCAAGCATCTGAATTTCAATCATGTGAGCATGGGGATGCTGCAACAGTCATGTGAAAAAATGATCATAAGTTACTTTTTCAGGGTCATTGTAACTTTGAACAGTCACTAAATGAACTGTTGTTAAGTCGAGGACTACCTGTACCAGTGAGCTCCATTAAATACTGTGTGAATAATGTCTACGTAATTAATACATTTATATTCCAACTAAAATATGGTTGGTAGTGAAATGGGGTTTTTTGGAGGACTAGAGCAGAGACCAGGATTGAGCAACAATTTGAGAGGCGCAGAAGGGTAATGGTTGAAGACAATTAAACTGAACATTTTTGTATTTAAAATGATGACAGGCAGTTTAATCTAGGGGTTAAAGCACAGGCTAGAAGTCTGAGACAGTGAGTTTGAGTCCTGCTTTAGTCATCAAAGCCAGCTGGATGACTTGCAGTATTTGTTATTCCTAACTGCCTGGAAATTTCTCCCATTCTGTTCAAAAATGAAAAGTATGGCGATATTTGTGGATTTCCATGCTAATCAATGGGCGGTATGAAGCTTTGAATCTGTTTTCAGATTTGGGCCTCAGGTCCAATTAGGAAGCATTTGATTTAGTCTGAGTCAGTTCAGGTGTCTTTCCAAATTACAGAATTATAGCTCAAGTGAAACCATCTCATTAATATACTGTACTTATCTATAGTTTAACTTAGAGTTGAATTACTATTCCAACATGAAATATGCAGGAACTTAAATTAAAATGGCAAAAACCATTTTATGAGGCAAAAGCTCATATAATGAAGAATGGAAGGAACTATATTAAAAAAGAAATGAACAGATATGGGAGGAATAGCCAATTAGCTTGCAAGTCAATCATCTAAATTCGTCAGGGAAAGAATCTAATGCTACGTTGCACATCAGGCTAGCCTAAGACACATTTGTTTGCCTGTGATTTAGCAATTTGTTTGATGCCATTGTGGTTGGTAAATAATGATTTATAGATTAGCATGTTGTATGAACCCAGCCAATTTTAATTAAGAAAACCACAGCTAAATATGTCTTCAGGCACTATGCCAAAATATGTTATAAACCCAACAGATTTGGACAAGATTCTCGTCCCTTTGGAGGATAACCAAGTACTTGTTATTCTTGTTATAAAGTTTATAATCTGGCAACCTAAAGAGTGTAGACCAGGATAAACAAATAGGAATACAGAGATTGAAGGTCTTTGGGTCTGTCCATGTGTTTTGAATTCAGTGGTGAATCATAATCACTTCTGGCAACTTCAGAATACAGAGAAAAATTACTGGAGAGTGGGGGGGGGAATCATTCAGTCAGTGCTTCATCCAACAGAGAAAAAAATCAACTGCAAGTCCCGTTTTTACTTTCTTTCCCGATTATATGTGTCTGCTGACTATTTTCCTGCAAGTGTAGGGCTGTTGTTAGAGGGAACATTATTGCCTGGTTATCTAAATTAAATTCTTCCTGCATATAAATTCATACACATTAAAAGTTGTCATAATTTTTTTTTCTTGACTGTACACTGCCTTGAGCCCTATGGGAGAAAGGCGGTATAGAAATATAATAAATAAATAAATAAATAAATAAATAAATAAATAAATAAATAAAGGTACACCACCACTGTTTTATAATCAGGTGCTTTACCCATCAGCTACAGCCACTATAAGTCATAATTTTGGACCTTTACCTTGGTACATGTGTTTGGGATGGATACTGTGTTTCACGCCAAAACCTTAGAACTGGCTTCTTCTGTGCCTATATGGATCTGTCAGTAAACAGTAAACAGAAACACAGCATAGTAAAATCCCCTTTTCCTTCCGGGGTTGCCCATTATCCACTGTCCACCAATCCAGGTTAAATATTTTTAAATACTAGCAAAGATAAGAGAGGAATGTATCTGACTCTGTACAGACGGATTTAGTCCAGTGATAAATAAACTTTTATGCTTTTGCTTAATTATCATGTTTAAAAAATCACCCTTCAGTTTTATAATGAGGGAAAAGTTACATGCTAAGGATATTATAGGATAATACATTCCTCCCTTATTTTTGCTAGTGTGTAAACAGAGATTTATCCAGAACCTTCTCTTTCTGGATTTTCAGGATTCGGCTATGGGTATTGCCACTAATGTCCTGTTATTTAAAGTGCTTATTTCATTTATGTTATCAGCACACAAATGTGATTATTATCATTTATTAGATTTAATGAAACCACCAAGTACAATGAACTCTTGTTTATAAAATACAGTTAATAAATAAATCAATTAAAAACATAACATGAAACAAGACAAGCCAGACTAAAAACAACCATTAAAAACAAGCAGAGCAGCACTTATTCCCCCAGCCCAGGGGTCTCCAAATTTGGCAGCTTTAAGACTTGTGAACTTCAACTCTCAGAATTATCCAGCCAGCATACTTGGCTGGAGAATTCTGGGAGTCCACAAGTCTTAAAACTGCCAAGTTTGAAGACCTCTGCCCCAGCCCAAGCAAAGCCTGGTGTTAAAGGGCTTTTTAGAACCCCAGGAGGGAAGGTACCATTCATACCTGCGGGCAGGGATACTGTTCTAGAGGATGAGGGCCATGGCAGAGAAGGCACACTTGACAGTGTACAATATTTGGGTTTGTTCAGTGGTGGGATTCAAGTAATCTAACAACCAGTTCTCTGCCCTAATAATTTCTTCCAACAACCAGTTTGCCAAACTGCTCAAAAAGTTAACAACCGGTTCTCCCGAAGTGGTGCGAACTGGCTGAATCCCACCACTGGGTTTGTTTCATCTCAAGTGCATAAACTTCTTTAAACGTCACAACGACTTATTTCTGAAGAAATCTCTAGAAAAAAAAATCATCTATAAACCAGATTTAATTTTTTATTATTATTATTTATACTTTATAATATAAAAGCCAAATACCACTCACTCCCTCTCTGTTCCAACTGCCAGTTGCCTTATATTAACACACTCTGATCAGTGGTGGGTTGCTACCGGTTCGCTCCGGATTGGGTGAACCAGTACTGGCGGTGGCGGGAGACTCCAGCCACCCGCCCAGACATCTCTGTGTATGCACAGAAGCATTACGCACACGTGCACCTACAAGCAAACCAGTAGCAAACAAAATTGAAACCCTTTACTGGCTCTGATGCTACGGAGTTACACTTACATTAAGTTTCAGGCTTTAAGTGTCAATTAAGCATGGGCAAAGCACGTGCGTACAGCTAGTACTTTATATTTCTTAAATGCCCATCCATCTTGGACACATTTTGTCCTAGACACTTTTGCTAAGCAAAGTGAACAGACATGTTTTCAACATAAATCAAATTTGCTGAATGCCAGGCTTCCACAATTGGATCCAGAACTTCAGTCACTAAGTGATGCGGTCATTTTGGGAAGTAATCATACTCTGATATACATTTTTTCATGCCTGATTCTCTTTCACTTCATCATTTCACTTTAGCATCTTTCTTCATACTTTCCATTTCCTGATCATCAGATGGGATCCATAGACATTGACTTTTGCCACTTATCACGATGTAGGCCAGTTGACACTTTTGCATAATCCTTTTTAGTAAGTTAAATATGGTGTAGACTAGGTTGCCAGCCTTAGTCATACATATACCATGTTGCATTCCCTGAAATAATAAGGGCAATAATGGTCAGTTTTGACCTGTATGACACATGCACAATCAAAGTCCCATTTTACCAAAATTGTGCTCATAGTATCCTGTGCAAGCTAAGATCCCTAATATAAAGACTACTTTCAAGGGGACAATGGGGGTAGGAGTGGGCGGGTGGGGGGGAGGGAGGGTGTGTAGATGCCTTTTTAAAAAATGCATTATACCAGGAATTCACATTAAAAAGAGTTGGGCCTTTGATTACTCGGTCACAGGAGCCATCTTGTTTTGATATCGCTTGTCCCCCTTCCCCCATGGATTCTCCGGATTCTCTTGCAAACCAGTATATAGTTCTCTTATTATCCCATCAATGGAAAGTTACGTGGAGCGTCAAGGAAAGACAAAACACACAACTGGGCTAGAAAGTACTGTGCATACAACCCTTGTTATGACTTAGAACAGGGGTGGGCAACTGTGGCCCTTTTACAACCTGTGGACTTCAACTCCCAGAATTCCTGAGACAGCCACAACCTGTGGACTTCAACTCCCAGAATTCCTGAGACAGCCAAGCTGGCTCAGGAATTCTGGGAGTTGAAGTCCACAGGTTGTAAAAGGGCCACAGTTGCCCACCCCTGACTTAGAAGACACATAAAGATGCTGAATTTCACATTGCATATAAAGCGAATGGCACTTATTCCCCCCCCCCCAATAGAAAGGAAGAGGCTACATATCCTCGAAACCCGAAAACTCTGGTCTTTTGCATCGCACCTTTAATTTTATATTTCAGATCGGCTCGTGGACCACACGGGCTCTTACAGCTCCAACCTTAAACCTTCTCACGCAACGCCAGCCTGCTCCTGCCCATGCCGAAACGTGGGTGGCACATCACCACATTCAGATAATGTCATTTCTCCAGTGAAAACGTGTGGATGGGGAGGAGCATCCTTTCCAGCCCCACAGCCTGCAGCGGCTGATGCCATTTCACCGGAAATTCAGGCTGGTTCGTCGCCTCTTCAGAGCCTGCAGGGTCTCCCCTCCGCCTCGGCTCTATCCGGGAGATCGCGCCTTCCTTTTGACCGAGCGATTCTCCCGCAAGAAGCGAAGGGAACGGGCCAGACGAGGGGGCGACGATGCTGGGATTCCTGGGGTCCGTGTTGCCATTCTTGGTCTTGGTCCCTCTTTCGGTATTTGTGCTAGTGCCGTATATCAGGTTTGTAGCGGGATTGATTTGACTAACTCTTGTGGCCTGGAAAACTCTCGGCAGTGCAACTTCAAAAAGAAAAAGAAAAAAAAAACTACCACATTTAAAAAAAAATAATTAAATCGGTGAACTCTATAATACCGATGTCCTATATTAGCACTCTCTCGATTTCTGGTGAATTGGGCTTTTCCCTGTTGTATGTGCAGAGTATCCCCATCCCACCCCCTCTATGAGTATGTGTGTTTGTGTTATATGCATGAGACGCTAACTTGGATTTCTACGACAAATTGCATTGCAATGTCAATACTTCAACAAGGGACTGAATTTTAAAACCTCAACCGTTCAACGGATTTATTATATTTTATAGGAAGTATTTTGGAGGAAGGGTGTGCAAGTCTGCAGCGCAACTGAATGGGAAAGTTGTAGTGATCACGGGATCCAACACTGGTATAGGGAAGGAAACGGCGCAAGACCTTGCAAGAAGAGGCAAGTTATTCATATCTGCTTATCCATTGTAGCCCCCACAAAGGTAGAAATTATAATAAGAGGAATTCAAGATGGGCAGGGAACTTTGCCTTTCACAGCAGAATCAAAGTTCATCATCAGTAGAATGAATTACGGTTCTAGGAGATTCAGATTTTGAGAAAAAATATCTCCTCTTTTTAAATACATTGTAATATAAATTGGCAGTAATCCTGCATAAGATGCAAATTCTCATCCAACACAAATCAACCTTCATGCTTGGAGTCAAGGTCAACAATGGTAATTACATTGATTAAATAAGGCTGCTGCAGGTTTTTGTTGACATGTACAGTGGGATTTCTCAAAATGAGCAGAATGTTCCGTTCCAGGTTGTGTAACAATACTTCCTGTTAGCATACAAGAATATACTTTAGCTCATGATGCAACTAAGCCACTTTTTCGTTCACTCAGTACATTCTATCATGAACTGAAACAACCAGGCTGAGTTTGCATAAACTGAGGCACAAAACGACAGCTAAGATTTGTAGCTGACTTGGGTAAACATATTGTATGAACGCAAATAAGGTCCCCACTATAATATCTGCCTTTTTTGAGATAGACTTCTTTCCATTAATGTCCTGCTGCTGATTTTGACATCAAGTGAACTGCAGCAATTCAGTTCAGGTAGTTCTTGGTTAACAACAGCAATTGAGACTCAAATTTCTGTCTTTCAACAACGCAGTTGTAAAATATGATGTCATATGACTGTGTTGCTTAGTGGCAGCAGTTTGAGTATTTCCAGTGGCATTGAATTCCACGCTGTCATTAAACAAGGATGGGTTATGGTTCTATTGGCGACCTCCTGCTGGTTTCCCCATTGACTTTGCTTGTAGGATGCCACTAAAAGAAGGTCACAAATGGTGACCATACAACCATGGGATGCTGTGATGGCTGGAGCTCCTTCAGCACCACTGCAAGTTTCAGTGATCATTGAATGAGTGGTTATTAACCGAGGGCCAGGGATGAAATGCTCCCAGTTCGGACCGGATTGCCCGATGGGTAGCAATGGTGGCGGGTGGTTCGGAGAACCAGTAGCAAAATCCCTGCGGGGCCCCCCCATGCCCAGCTGAGCCGCGAGATCTTTAGAGGCTGTTTTTTTTTTACTTTTAAAAGCATTTTTTCTACAACCTCTTCGGCTGAAAAAATACTTTTAAAAGTAAAAAAAAAAAAGCCTCTGATGATCGCGCGGCTCAGCTGGGATCATCAGAGGCTTCTAAAAGCATTTTTTTCTGCAACCTCTTCGGCCGAAGGAGTTATAGAAAAAATGCTTTTAAAAGTAAAAAAAAAACAACCCTCTGATGATCGCGCAGCTCAGCTGGGATCGTCAGAGGCTTCTAAAAGCATTTTTTCTGCAACCTCTTCGGGTGAAGAGATTGTAGAAAAAATGCTTTTAAAAGTAAAAAAAAAAAAAGTTGGCCACGCCTACCCAGTCACATTACCCTCCCTACCAAGCCACGCCCACAGAACCGGTAGTAACAAATTTCACCCCTGCCGTGGACCACCTGTAATTCTGACCTAATTTACCGTGTACAATTGGTACTGTAACTTGAGCTAGCTAGATAAGTGCTGATCTCCAACCATGAAGATGGGGTAAATGGAAGTAGTTATGTTTTTGCTTTTCTTCTTAGCTTTTATTTTTTGTGTGTGTTATAGCTATACTGTGCTTCCCAATGTATGCATCAAAAGCTCTATATTCAAATAGTGAACATATTATGGGGATGTGGATTGTACTTATCTGGAATTGTATTATCTGTACATAGGAATAAATATTTGTCTTGGTTGGAGATCTCAGCATTTCCGCATCTGATACCAGGAGGCTGCTTGTAGTATGTATGTATGTATGAAGCATATGGCATACAATATCAGGGAAATCTACACATGTTAGACGCAATGCAATCCTGACAGCCTAGATTGGTAGTTCATTCTGTTGGGCGCTTATGTGCCTATTCTTGGAGCACTGCAAGGGACAAACTAGCTCACACCAGCTGATTAGCAGCGCTTGGGTTGCTGGCTCTTCCAGGTTCCTCTGCCGGTCTCACCTCACCTTGTTTTGTGTTGAATTGCCTTATGTCTGGCCAGGTCCAGTGCCAGCTTCTGCTCTCTGCACACACAAAAGCAGCTAGGTTTTTCCAGCTGAAATGGTACCCATTTATGTACTCACAATATTGCATACTTTTGAACTGCTGGATGTGGGCAGGAACTGGGGAGCAAATGGCGGGAGCTCACTCTGTCTCATGGAGCCAGGCTCAAACCACCAGAGCACAGACCACTTCTGGCCAGCCATAAATAAAAAATTTCATAAACCCTGACAGATTATTTAAACAAATTTCATAAGAATAAAGATATAAAAAGCAAAGTAGAAGACAATTACTAATAAAACATATAAAATATTATTTAAAAATCTCTGGGTAAACTGTCCCTCTCATATCTTCTATTTATTTTTCCAACTGAACTATTTTCCCTAACCATTTCACAACACCGTACTTTGCCTGTTAAACTTATTTCTATAAGCCATTTAAGTCATTTCATCTTTTATTTTTCATTAGTATCTTGTGGTTTAAATTCAGAATTTATATTTAAAACTTTGTGAATATTTTAATATGTTTGTTCCAATACTTTTGTGATTTTTTTTTATAACCATCATGTGCCATAAGATGTTTATTTTGTTGTGGCATTTCCACTGTTATATGATTTATGTATCTTGGTAATCCGTAAATTTATTGGGTTTTTCCCAATATCTTTCCCATTATTCTATTTCCATCTTAAAAGTTTACATCAACTTTATCATTCAATTTTTAATTTGTTCCATCTCTGTTATATTCAGAAACACTTTATATAAGCATCCTAATCTTTCCAAATTCTGTCTTCTTTCTCAGGTTCCCTCCTTTTTTCCTGAGATTACAGGTAGTCCTTGAGTTGCAATGGTAATTGGGATTGGGACTGCTATCGCTAAGCAATGTTTCAACCACATCGCTTAACACCAACAATCCCAGAATTCCAGTTGCTGTCATATTCTCTAGATATAGGGTCATTAAATAAGAAGTGGTAAGGAACATGGGGTGAAGGTGGGGGAGGCCCTGGGAGGCCTGGAATGAGGGAGACCTGATGAGATTTTGTAAGACTGAGTACAGGATGTGGGTGAGTTTAGGAAGCTTGGGAGGCTGAGCACAGGTTACACAAGAGTTGGGGGAAGGCCAGGGAAGGTTTTGGGAAGTCTAGTGCAGGTTGTGTGTAACTTGAGGGAGGACAGGGGAGGCTGCGTGCGGGTGAGTAGGATGCAGCAGGCAGAAGTGAATGAGTTGTGATCTTCCCTGCCAGCTTCCCCATTGACTTGTAGGAAGGCAAGGGAAGGTTACAAATAGTGGTCACATGACCATAGAGATGCTGTGAAAGATAGAACTTCAAGGATTAGTTGTAAGTCCATTCTTTTCAATGCCGCCATAACTTTGAATGGTTGCTTACTTAAACTGAGGACTACTCCTAACTTTTGTTGCTCTAGCAATTTGTAAATTTATTTATTTATTTATTGTCATATTTATATGCCGCCCTTCTTTCAAGGGATTCGGGGCGGCTCACAAAATAAACAACCCAACAATAAATAGAATTAAAATGTTAAAATCCAATTTAAAAACCCCAAATCCCCCAAATTAAAATGCACGGCAGATCAGGGAATTTGCTGAAAGAGCCATGTCTTTAGGTCGGCGCAGAAGATGCGGAGGTCGGGGGCCGTCCGGAGCCCAGTGGGTAAACCATTCCAGAGGGTCGGTGCGACCACAGAGAACTCCCTCATCCTGGGGGCGTCAGCCGACACTGTCTGGCCTATGGGACCCGGAGGAGGCCAGTCCTATGTGAGCGCACTGGGCGGTGGGAGGCCGGTAGGAGGTAGTCCTGCAAGTACCCCAGGCCCATGCCATGAAGGGCTTTATAGGTGAGCACCTGCACTTTCAAAATACTTTTTGGTATTATGGTGACCAGAATTTCACATAGTATTCCAAGTGTACCCTCACTGGTGCAATATAAAGCAGCACCGGAGACAAATTCCTTGTGTGCCCAAGCACACTTGGCCAATAAAGAATGTTCTGTTCTGTTCTGTTCTGTTCTGTTCTGTTCTGTTCTGTTCTGTTCTGTTGATACAGCCCAGAACTGCATTGGCTTTTTTGGCAGCTCTTAACCAAGATTTTTGGTAATTTTTTCCATTTAACCAATATTTATGTCTCTCCACAAGTTATTACAACTGTTTTGAATTATATCTTGATTTCAGCCTGTCAGGGAAATTCCCAAGGTTTTTAAAAATTATTATTATTTCACCATCAGTTTCTTTCTTTTTTTTGTCATAAAGTCATATTCTTCAAGGGTTATGTCTATTGTTATCTTTATTTTTTGCATTAATTTTGTTTCTGGAAAATTGGCCAAAATGGTAATTTGGATAGTAACCCTCTATGCGTGTAGTTTCGTGCGCTACTTTTAGTATTTTAATGGTTGCAGGTGCCAAAGTCATCCTTGCTTGCAGAGATATGGTAAAAGCAGAAAAGGCAGCCCATGAAATCCGGATCAAGACGGGAAACCAAGAGGTTACAGCAAAAAAATTAGACTTGGCAGACACCAAATCTATCAGAGAATTTGCCAGTAATTTCTTGAAAGGTATGTCTCAGGCACATTGTTTTCTCAGGTGTGTGTGTGTGTGTGTCTTACCTGGGGCAAAAATTATTTGTCTAAAAATCCAGTAGGCATGATGAAATTCAGGCATGTTTTTTAATTATTATTTATTTATTAAATGTGCAGCCCATCTCGCTATCCAGAGTGACTGGGTGGCTTACAAGGCAATAAAAATAGGAATATAAAAACAATTCTAAATACAGAAACAATTAAAAACAGTTTTTTAAAAAAAAAAACAACAACATTAAAATGTCTACAGATTCTAAAATTAGACCTCTGCCAGCATAAAAATACTCCAACTAGTAGGATTGCCAAAGCAACCCTAAAGGAAGTATTGTACTGAATGAAAGAGAACTGCTGCTTTCTGTCCTGCTTTCTGGAGTGATTTTGTGGGAGTCTGATAGGATCAAATTTTACCTTGTCAAAATGTTTGTGGAAAAATCTGAAAGAAATTGAACTGTGGCTATGTTTCCATGACTCCAGTTCCAGTATTCTTTTATCTTGGGCTTCTTTATTCATATGGTCTATGTGGCTTTTTTTGTCTTGTAGAGGAGAAACAACTCAACATACTCATCAACAATGCAGGAGTTATGATGTGCCCCTATTCAAAGACAGCTGATGGTTTTGAGATGCATTTTGGAGTCAACCATCTTGGTAAGGTTGCTGAATTTGATCTCCTTGATCAGTTTTTCTCTTAGAAAGTTTTATTTAAACCCTTTTGTCTTAAAGTGCTATGAGAAGTTAGAGTTTTGGGCTGCATGTAAACATGGAAAGCTTTGTGTGCTTTTGCATGTGGAAGCATGCAGGGAGGATAAACAAGAAAATGAGTGTTGCGATGTTGCAATGCTAGGTCTGCCTCTTTTATATATAAATTGCAGCGTTCCACCCACATATATAAAAGACTGAGCTTACATTGCAATATTTTTTTTATCCTTATGAACTGGTTGAACTCTAAAGAGGCCTTTCAGAAGATTGTACTTGTTATATAGATTGAGATAAGAGTGATTGCTGCTCATTAATGGTATTAATGGCATTAATTAATGCATTAATTAATTAATTAATGGCATTAATGGTAATGGTAATTTAAATTAATGGTAACATGGGAAGGGTGAGATAAAACCACATTATCCTAATTATTCTCACAGGGATTACTGTTTTTCTTGATGACACTGATTTTTTTAATGCATCAGATTCTTCATCAAGTTAAGGAGCTATTTGAACATGCATAGTCCTTAGTTGATCTCAAAAATCAGAAAGTTATTACGCTTGTAATTGGGGGTGGATGGGGTGGAAACAACTTTGAGAACACAATTGCACCGGGCAATCTTATTTCCTAAAAGTCCAAAAGTCAGTAATAATTTCTCATCAGATTTGGAAAGCCAAGTTGCTCTTGATACCTAGTGACTTCATGGAAATATACACTTAATTTTCCTGGCAATAATATGCAAATGATTTGCAATTGCCTTCTGAATTTTTTTTTAAATGTCCCAGTATAGCCTATATTCCTGGTATTCCAGCTTTTCCTATTTGATTCATTTATTTCATAAACAGAATTATCCAATGTGCAGCTTGCTAGTCTGAAAAAGTGATCAACCTTAAATCTCAGTTCAGTTGTAGGAAGGCTCTGTTGATTGGGGCTGAGTCCTGCTTTATATAAAACTCACAAACGTTGGCTTTCCTCATCAGTCCATGAGATTGTTATGTTCACCATGATTTGATTGGATTTTGGCTTCCGATTATCCATTTTATGTTCATTATTGGTTGTGTTTTGAACTATTATTACCTGCTCAGAGTCACCATTGTGAGATGAGCAGCCATATAAATTGAATTAAATAAATCACAGGGAAGTTCTCACCACAGAGATTCTTAAAGGCATAGTGTATTCTGCTCAAAAGGCCTCTGTTAAAAAAACATGATGTCTATCAGTCTGGCAAAGCTTACAAATTCATTTCTAAATGTGGAGGGTTCCACTCGTCTACCAGGACTCTTGAAATGGAGAAGATTTGGGGAAACCATGAATCTTCTGAACAGTAAAATCCATTTGCATGAAGGACATTGTCCTGCAAGTTATTTCAAGATCATAGGATAGTCATCCCAGAAGTCACCAAATTTTTTTTAAAAAAAATGCTAGAAGGCATCACTTGCTTTGGCTGAAGTCGGTGCTCACGATTCCTTTATCAGAAAAGCTCTGAGCAGAAATGGGATTCATGAGAGAGTAGAAAGGTAAAAGTCATGGGTCACTGGGAAGAACATCAATGGTTGTCTCAAAAATTACCTGAATAACCCTCCAGATATCTGGAGGATTGTTCTATATGTCAAGAGTGGAACACATGACATATAGAACAATTGGTATACCAGAACGAATGCTGCATTCACAATAAAGACTTCATACCAACTGTCAAGCATGGGGGGAGGTGGAAATACTTTCCTATCCCAGATCTGGATGACTTGTCACTATTGAAGAAAGCTATGAGAGAATATCAGACCATTTGTCTATCAGCTGAAGTGCAGGTGGGTCACGCAGCAATCTCAAAGCAGCAATTGCAAATACATGCGCAGATTTACTAGGGTATGAAAGAAGGACACATTCACTTCTTTGGAATGGCCAAGTCTAAGCCTAGATCTAAATTGTACAGAAATGTTATGGTAGGACCCAAAACGTCAAGTTAATGCTAGAAAATCTTTAAATGTGAGTTCAACATCTGGTTACTGAATCTAAGGGACAATTACTTTTTCATATCGTTCAGGTTGATGAGTTTAGGACCTACATGAACTAAAGATATACAAATATTCAGAATATCTCAAAGGGAATGAATATATTTTTTTAAAAAAAAATTGGATTAATTCCTTAAGGATAACTATTTAGCTTATTAATTATCAGCCATCTTTTGAAAATAGACCTTCCTCCCCCCCAACACACACATTTTTGCTTTACTTTTGTCAAACTTTACAAGCATGTGATAGCTTATGCATCACAGAACACTAATAAGAATTGGGAGAAACAGTATCATGAATCACTCATTTTTTTAAAAAAATTATGCATTATTGTACTTTTCCTTTAAATTTCACATTTTTTTTTGTTAAGTAGCAGTGTTTTTCTAATACACTTGCAGATATTTAGTAGCGTGATATGTTGGGATAGGTGTGCGGTAAATCCTTGTAACCCATATGTTTAATACAAACGAATGCGTGCAGATCTAACAAAGCAACCACAAAACTCAAATTATTGTTCATAATCTTTCCTGTTAGGCCATTTTCTTTTAACATTCCTGCTAATAGAGTGCCTGAAACAAAGCGCACCGGCTCGTATTATAAATGTGTCTTCATTGGCTCATCATATGGGGAGGATTCACTTCCAGAATCTCCAGGGTGAAAAGTTCTACTTTCGGGGCCTGGCATACAGTCATAGCAAGCTGGCCAACATTCTTTTTTCACGGGAATTGGCTAGGCATCTGCAAGGTGAGCTGAAAGTTTGCACTGTTTTTAATTGGCAATGTTATTTAGATGCAAAAATTACTTGTAATTTGTAAGTAAGACTTTTTTTTAAAAAAAATCCAGTTGTTGCTACCCAGTATTTAAAATAGAATGGCAAAAATTGGCCAGGATTAAGCTGGGCAGAAATGTCATCTTGAAAAGCAAAGACAGCAGTGTGCTGGAACAACCTGCAAAAGCCCTGGTATTTCTGTTCTGTGCATACATACAAGTAGTCCTTGAGTTACAATAATTTGTTTAGTGACTGTTCGAACCTACGACAGAACCTTAAAAAGTGACCTATGACTGGTTTTAATATTTAACAAATAGTCACATGTTCAAAATTCGGGCATTTGACAACTGACATGTATTTATGGCAGTTGTTGTGTCATGGGGATCATGTGATCACTATTTGTAACTTCCCCAGCTGGCTTCCAACAAGCAAAGCAAATGGAGAAAGCCAGATTCACTTAACAACTGCACAATTCACCTCACAACTGCAGTGATTCACTTAACAACTGGCAAAAAGGTCTCTTAACTCAATAACTGCCTTGCTTAGCAATAGAAATATTGGCCTCCATTGTGGTTGTAAGTCAAGGACTACCTGTACTGAATGCTGTGGGCCTTTTTTCTAAGTACCAAGAAATAAACTAGAGAGATATTTAGGCTTCTACCATAGTTATGATTGTTTGCACATAAAGGAAGCCATGGTCACCTTTAGTCCAACTGCCATTGAATGGTCGATAAATATGACTTACTTATTCTTGGTTTTAGCGTGCATGTATTTGATGTGGATACGTGACATAAACTTTAATTTGTGGAGGCCTTGGTGTTTTCTAAACTTGGTTATATGCTTGCAAGCATTTCATTACCCACCAAAGTAACATCTTCAGTCAGTGGTGGGATTAAGTAATTTAACAACCGGTTCTCTACCTTAATGATTTCTTACAACAACCAGTTTGCCAAACTGCTCAGAAAGTTAACAACTGGTTCTCCCGAGTGAATGTGGGGTTGCTCCCTGTTCATATATAGTAGTTTGCTCTTCCAGTTTGGGGTAGAAATGTGATTTTTCTTAATAGTTCTTTAATTATGGCATTTTCTGTTTCATTGTTTGCTTGGCATTAACCTCTGCTTATCTGGGTACTGGCTGCTGGAGAGGAATGTTCTGAGGTTTTTTGATTTTGTTTCCTTCTTAATTTTTTATAAGTTCTTTGGCTAACATAATCGAAAACATTTCCAAAGAAGATTTAAGATCTCATCCCACTACATTGCCTCCAGAAAATCAAAGACCTAAAAATAGAAATGAAATTATGGTTTCATTTTATGTTGAAGCACTCTTAATGTCCATAGATCCAGAGATAGTGAAAGACAGTTCTTCTCCACAAGCCATGGCTAGCATTTCATTGGCATTTCTAGCCAAATACCTTAAGATTGAAATACCCAGAATTATAGACCTTATCAACCTCTGCCTCATTATCTACTTTCAATTTAATGGACAAACATACAAACAAAATCAAAGGGATCCGTGGCATCACCACTCTCAGGAATCATAACAGAGGCCATAATATAGCATCTAGAAACTATACTAGTCCCACACCTACAACTAAAAGTATGGCATCAAGAACTCCACAGTTTAACCTTGAGCTACATATATTCTCTTCTATTGAAACTCTTTAAGTTTACGCTGGCATCATCTTTTTCTTTGTGTAATTCGAACAAAATCCTCTTTGATTTTGTACAGGCTGATCCCATTATCAGCCTGTACATAGTGTATTTTTTGAATACATGCCTGGTTTGTCTCCTACAGGTACTGGCATCACTGTAAATGCTCTGCATCCAGGTACAGTTTTGTCTGAACTTGTTCGTCATTCCTTTACACTAAAAGTTTTGTGGAACACATTTGCTATCTTCTTGAAGACACCTTGGCAAGGAGCTCAGACTAGCATATATTGTGCGGTGTCAGAGGAGTTGGAGACAGTCACTGGAAAATATTTCAGGTGGGTTGATCTGGGATGACTGGCATTGGGATGTGGTGAGAGAGAACAATGCTTTTATTATGTTGTGGGCTGCGGTAGGTAAGAATGTGACCTTGTTAGCCCTGAGATAATTGTCTACTTGGGAGATTTATGAGCTTCACTGTTCCGGGTGAGTAATATCGAACTCGTTGAGTCTTCCCAGTTTAGCCATTTTGAGAAGGCCCCTGTGGTGCTGGTTAATGCCTATACTACTGCGGTTGGAGCTGAGCTGCACTTAGGAGTCCTGGGGACGGATCCCTCAGGTACGTCTGTGCGTCCAGTGTGTCTTACTGGCAGGCAGGGTGGGGAGCATGGTCCCACCAGGGCTCTTTACCCGCTCTGACACCCAGTGATTTCAGTCTCTTGGTTAGCAGCAGCTCTCTCCTCTGCCGTATCCCACCTTCGTCGCCACTATTATGTTGTGGGCTGCGATAGGAAAGAACAGACAGCATAGATACAACAGCATTTATTGACTCAACTGGAACTGTCAACAACAGGCAAATTCCTGTAATTTATACTCTGGGCCCACAAGGCCTCAATCAGTCATAATACTTGAAAAGCCTGCCCAAATATGAATCTTCTAAGTTTGCTTCTAAAACAATTGAAGTTAACAGTTAGGGTCATCTAAAGGTTAGGTTCACTTTAATAGGCTTAACATAACTATATGTATTGACTCCAAATTTAGGGGAAAACATTGTTTTGGTTTTGCTATAACCACCTTGTCACCTTGTCACTGCCTTGGGATGGGGAAAGAAGCTTTGGATAACCACCTCAGAATAAACCAGGATACAAGCAGGAGTTATGATTGCTATTGGTATTATTTTGAAGCATCAGTGAGGCTCTCCCATGGGCTAAATGCAAACATTGGGTATGGGACTTAGTAAGTCCTTAATAATGAGTTACTGATGCGTTAAGAGTTCTTGTACCTCTAATACAGTGTTTCTCAACCTTGGAAGCTTGAAGATGGGTGGACTTCAACTCCCAGAATCCCCCAGCCAGCAACGCTGGCTGGGGGATTCTGGGAGTTGAAGTCCACCCATCTTGCTCTAATAAGCTCTAATAAGCTTCTCCACTGCTCTAATAAGTGGAGAAGTCATTCAGAAAGAATAAATCTCACCTGCTGATTCTTGCCTAACAGCACTAGTTGTCTCTTTAAAGCAGCAGTTTTCAACCACTGTGCCATATAGGTGTGCATGTGAGCCAAACTACATGACAGGAAAAGTGCTGCACAGATACCCAGCAGAATCCCACCCCTGTGAGAGGGACAGATTGCCTCCATTTCTTCTCCTGAGTCCCAGCAACTTGGGTTGCCAGAGACTTCCAGCTTTGCAGCCTGAAAGTCCTGCTTTTGAGATGTGTGCTATGACATGAACAGGGTTAAAAACAACTTTTAAAGGATTAGAAATCTGAATCCAGTCCCACTGCATAGAAATTTATGGTGACATCAGCCTTAATAGCTCCCTTAGCTAGTGCTAAGGATAAAGATCCATAGTTATTTATGTGATGACCATATATTAATTAATTAATTAATTAATTAATTAATTAATTAATTAATTATATTTCTATACCGCCGTTTTCCCGTAGGACTCAAGGTGGTGTACAGTCAAGAAAAATATAGATACACAAACATCATAAAATTGCTAATTAAAATTATTATTATAACAAAGTTTGGCCCAATTAAATAGAACCTAAAATTAGATAACATTTTAATATAGCAGCCACTCTAGTTGAGCATGTGTTTCTTCGAGCTATGGGCATACAGTATGTGTTCTGAATGAGTGAAGAATCTTAGTAGTATGTTAAGTAGCTTCTAAAATCTGCCAGGATAGTTGTGTAAAAGGAAACCCAGTAGTCTAAATTGTTTCTTGAGGCATTAAAACTTATCAATGGCGGCTTTGTACAAGGAATGTGCAAAAGATTCCGGGCATGCGTTCTGGGTTTCCACAAATCAGTTATTTCACAGGTGGTCCATTCTTGAAAAAACGTATTTAAGTTCATAATATGAACAAACAGGGTTGGTCTGGATACAGAATGAAATATGGTTGTTCTGGGTGAGTAAAAGAGTAGGAGAAAGCCAAGGCAATGGGAGTGGCTAAGAGGACACAGGGAAAGGAGTGAAGATGAAGGGAAATGGGGAGAATGTTGTGGGGAGACGGAATGACAAATGGACGAGCCTTACTGTTTTGGTGTGTGGGGAGAGGGGGCCGCAGTCTTAACTCTTGGCAACTGCCTGGAGAAGTCCTGCATTTTTCTTGGCAAGGTTTACAGAAGTAGTTTGCCATTTCTTTCTTCCTACGGCTGAAAGAGAAGGACTGGTCCAAAGTCACCCAGCTGGCTTTGGGCCTAAAGCAGAACTAGATTTCAGGGCCTCCCAGGCTCCAACCTGGTACTTTTAATCACTACACCAAATTGGTTTTCAGTTTTGTGAATTTGCCTTATAAAATTCAATACAGGTAGTCCTCGACTAACAACCATTTGTTTAATGACCGTTCGAAGTTACAACGGCACTAAAAAAAAGTGACTTGTTGCTGTTTTTCACACCACCATTGCAACATCCCCATGGTCACATGATCAAAATCCAGACGCTTGGCAATTGACTTGTTAGTAGTGTCCTGGTATCATGTGATCACTTTTTGAGACCACCTGACAAACAAAGCCAATGGGGAAACCAGAGTCACTTAACAACCATGACATAAAACAATGGCAGTGATTCATTTAACAAATTTAGTAAGAAAGGTCGTAAAATGGGGCAAAACTCACTTAACAACTGTTTTGCTTAGCAATGGAAATTTTCAGCTTGATTGTGCTTGTAAGCCGAGGACTACCTGTATTCCTCTGGCTTTATTTTGGCTGAACTGCAACTGTTCCAAAATGGTTCAGCAAAACTTCTGGAATACAGTTGTTTATAAAAAGATCAGAACAAAGCTTTTTCTAGTTGACTGACAGGACACTAGCCAGATGACTACCAATGGATGCTGGTAGGCAGAGGCAGATTTTTTTTTTCTTATTTTCCTCCCCCAAAACTAAAGTGCGTCTTATACTCCAGAACATTTTATAGTCCGAAAAATACAGTATACACACACACTCACACACATATATATTAGCAGCATGCTCAACTAGAAAAAGCTTTGTTCTGATCTTTTTATAAACTTTTTATAAACACATATATACACACATACATACATGTATATGTATATGTATGTGTATATATATATATATATATATATATATATGTATATGTATATGTATATGTGTATATATATATATATATATATATATATGTAGGTCTTTGGTTATTCGGGTCTTCTCCCACGTAAAATTGGAAGTGTCTTGGCGACGTTTCGACGAAGTCTCATTCGTCATCTTCAGGCTGGTGTTCTCGGCTTCGTGCTTCCAGGAGAGCCTTCTCTGTGGGAGGAGAGCCTTCTCTGTGGGGGCACCTACTATCTGGAACGAGCTCCCCCCAGAGATACGGAGGATCCCGGATCTGCGCACCTTCCGCCGCGCCTTAAAGACCTTACTATTTCACCAGGCCGGCCTGGCCTAATTTTTTTAAAATTTTTAAAATTTTAAATATTTTTTAGTATTTATATATTCAATTTTAAATTGGTTTTAAAAGTTTGGGGTTTTAAATTTGTCGGGGCCAAAATTATTTAATTTGATTTTATTCTATTTTTTAAATTTTGTATTGTATGTGTTTTTATTGTTTGGCTGTGCACCGCCCTGAGTCCTTCGGGAGTAGGGCGGTATAGAAATCTAATAAATAATAAATAATAATAATAATTTTACGTGGGAGAAGACCCGAATAACCAAAGACCTACATACAAACACCCGCGAAAACCTGAGAAAACATATATATATATATATATATATATATATATATATATATATATACACACACACACACACACACACACACACACACACATATATACATACAACACACACATATATATAGTGTAAGTCCTTACAAAAAGGAAAGAATGCTGATGTCTTGTATTAGTAATTTAGGAGTCCATTGTTCAGACATATGCCACTCTTACAATTAGTGTGCTTTACGTGTTTGTTTTTTTTTTGCTAAGCCTGAACATATTAATTATAATTATATAATTATTTAATAATAAAATTAATATAATTAGAATTATTAGAATTATTAATGCAATGGAACATTGCTAATATACTTTCTTCCTTCATATAACAGTGATTGTAAACCAGCATATGTGTCATCTCAAGGACGTAATGATGAAACAGCAAAGAAGCTTTGGAATGTTAGTTGTGAACTCCTTGGTATCCAGTGGAATTGACCTGCAAAGGCCAGCTACACCTGAATTCCATATTTTGTATATGAGACTGGGAAAGTATTACTTTCATGGAATTTTCATAGATCGAGTTGATAGGTCACGTTCATTTTTAATAAAAATGTTCATCTCAGCTTTTCCATTAAAATAGAAGGTCAAGCAATTGTTTAGTGTATGCAATGCATTAATAAGAAATGACGTTACAGATTAAAACAATAAGTTATCCAAATTCTTTTATTTTCTCAATGAGAGTTTAACACTTTTGTTCATTGGAAGTTTAGAATTCCTCCGTTACAGTTTACTACAGGATAGTTCACAGGACAGGTTTTGCTGGTGAGAAAGGGATCCTTTAAAAATCCTAAAGAATCCGAGTAACAAACAATATAAAGTGCATAAAATGCAGTGCAAAGAGTGGACCCAACAATCTTCTCTATTTTCTCTCCCCCACAAGTCTTTCCTTTCTTCCCTTTGGAAAGTATTGATGAGAAGAGTTTGGAGATGAAAGTACAAGCCATGTTATGTACTAAACTCAATAGGCAGTACAGCTTAACACACAGAAAACAAGGAATCCTGTTCCTTTCTTAAAGTAGAAGTAGTAATTAGAGTCACAAAAAACCCAATTGGACTATCTCCCGGGACTCATGGCAGTTGAGCTTGATAGACAGCAAAAGCAGATTTTATAACTCTTAGATCCCTAATAGGATAACTTCTAACACCCGAAAGGTATGGAAAGATGGAAGCTAAATATAGCCCTTCCAAGTTACTTAACCTCAAGGTTATTTCTGGCTGCCAAATCCAATGAATTAAGGATTACTACACTTGTGGCTGTCAGCTGTGGCTATTGTTTCCCTGAAAGAGCATAGCTTAGAACATTTGCTAAAATTAGTGGGAAAGGATGATGTTCATCTAATAATTATTTTTTAAAAAATCCAAATATGAAACCATTCTGAATAATTTCTTACAACTAATACAATTTTGATAACAGTTTGAATTTTTCAAGTTAAACACTTATCAATTACAGTCATATCTTCTTATATAGAGCCTGCCGTGGTCTCACCGTTTTCTATATTATGTCACTGAAAGGACAATGAGAACTTCAGACTGTTTCAGGGAAAAGTGGCAAACATGGGTAGAGGTTCCAAGAGGGAACTACTATTCAATCTTCATCATTTTTCCTCCATTTTCTGTGTTAACTGGTTATTTCCTTGCCTCAGATAGTAAGAGGTGTAGGCTTACAAACCTGTTATCTCTTATGCACAGAATTCAACTATTGCTTCTTGTTATGAAAAGCAATAGAGCGCTGTACCCATCTCAAAATGCTTGTTTTCTTATTGATTTGGCTTTAGCTTTGCAGTGTAGGGAATCACAAGCAGATACAAACTCTTGTCGATGCGGGATTTGCATTCATAAACAGTGCCTAAAGCAGAGATACCTCCATGATCATAAAGTAGAACGCAGCTCAAGCAGCACTGAAAATATGAAGTATGTAAAGAATAAACACCCTGAAGTAGAGGTAGTTGGTTGTCACTGCATCATGACTGGCACTTTTATGAAGTTGATCCTTTCCCTTTGAATAAAGGCATTCAAGCAGCTTCTTTCCAGTTTGCAGCCATAATTGAATCTAGCAGGATGTAATATTTTTCCTTTCTAGAAACAACATCCCAACAAGTTTCTGGGAGTCATTTCTTGGAATTTTGGGTAAGCCAGCTTCTCGACTTAGTGTGATGTACCGAAAGCCACTGGGTGCAGATGGCCTGCACTACATCGTCCCCACTGTCCTCTGCCATTTGCCGTATGTGTTGAACCAACTGCACCGCTCTTACATTTTCTTGTTTTACGGAGATAAGATAGGCGGAACGTAGTTTATGGCATTTCAAGTATGCCTGAATCTGAAAAGGAAAGAAAAACAACTGTGACTTGAAATTCCATAAGAAGGGTATTGCCCTTGGGATGCACCAGTTTTCCTTCACTTCCTAATATAGCCTCTGATACAGACTTTAACTTAAATGGTGAGTCTGTAGAAGACCGAGAGGTGTGATATAAAGAAGGCTGCACCGGAAAGTGAATATCAGCAAGGCCTGTTGCACACAGATGTCTCTTTCTTATTGGAAGAACTTTCTTTTGGGATTACTGCCAAAAGATGCTTGTTTTCTGCAAGGCAGCAGAGACTGTATATAAAGTTTGAAACAATGCATGCATTTAGAATGATGATAAGAGTTGCTTTGTGGACCAGGCACTGGAATGTATTACAGAAGATTTGCATGTTAGGCTTGTTAAAATGACTTGATGCCAAATAAATAAGTTTCTGCCTACCGGTAGAATTTTAAAAAACCTCGTTTCTTATATAATCATTCTTATATAATCATTTTTCCAAAAAAAAAAAAAAAAATCAAACCCAAATTAAATAATTTAAAAATAATATCTATTCCATAGAGTTTCTACTATAAAAAGCAAATGTTTGAGTTATAAGTTTCTCTGAGAATAATAGCCCATTACAATGAGAATTTATTGAATTGGAAAACACAATCGGTTTATTCACAAACAGAAGAGAGAGAGAATCATTGTGTGGAATAACAGATGGCCCAGAGTGCACAAAATGTTCGTTTATCATTATAAATGATATATACAGCTATCAGCCTAAATATTTATGCCCCAAATTCTAGATGAGCCTTCTGGGTTTAACTTTGTCAGATTCTTGTCATTGCTGGTAAAGACGGAGAAAATGGCATAGTCAAAAACTCAGAATGCCATATAGAGCTTTCATTTTCTGGATTTTCCAGTTGTACAATTTCAGATTGTACCAGGCTGAATAATCCAAGTCTTCATGTGACTGCACACCTTGATTTATCAGTATCCATGCTCACTGATTGTCATTAAATTGTAAAGTGGTATGTTACCTTACAAGTATGCTACCACTTAATGAATCAAGATCTGAAATTTAGATAGGGCAGAGATATATATTTGCTTCCCTTTAACCTTTATATATTCTGGAAATGCATGGGAACAGCTCATTTCAAATTAACTTTCTAATAATGTTTAAGAAGAATGCATCACTATGAACATCATGTTCAGTGTTGGTAAAGAATTATCAGTAACCACATTCACACACTTGTTGAATACGATAACCCTAGAATAATACGAATAGATAAAAGATTGTATCTACAAGAATGACTGAGCAAATACACCATATACATAAATAAGAATTTCCAAAAATTACTTCATATCAAAAAAAAAAAAAACCACTTTGTTTTACTCACCTTGTTTTCATCACTGTCCATATCCTGGATCAAATTATCCAATTCCTAGAACCCAACAAGAAAATAAAAATGGTAGAAAGATCATGAGATGAACTGTGAAACATTGCTTACACTGATATAGTTGCTTATACTTGCCCCAATAGATTGCTTTCAATTAACCAGAAAATCAAGGAAGCAATTATAAACAAAGTCCTACCCACTGAAAAAAGATACAGTAAGCAGCTATTTCATTAGAAGCTTTTATTGGACTGTGTGACTTAATTATGAGACTTAAGGGATGCCCACAACTGGCATAAACATATGGAACCCCTTTCCAAAATGAAGATATCCTAACCTCATTTAAGCACTGGATGGGGTGCTTTGGTATCCCATTTGCAAACTGTAGATTTAAGACACAAGGATGACATTCATTCATTGGCTATGAAAGAATCACTAGCAAAGTGAGACTTATGCTTGGCTTTCTAAATACTCAATAATAATGTAGGACAGAGAAAAAATATAACTGTGTCTCTTCCCTAACATTACAAGAAGTACAACTAGTATTTCCCTTTTTATATTAGTTTTTTTTTAATGTAAGATGTTAGAACCTAATGAAGATATTTTTTAAAAAATAAGCCAACTTTACCTCAGCAGGGATAGAATCAAACTCATCCAAGCAACTAAGGATGACATTGTCCCCATCATTTTTATCTGCAGCACCAGATTCCTTGATACATTTAATGAGCTGCCTGATCTCACTGTAGCTCTGCTGCTTCACCAGCTGCCTAGCTACTTTATTGTATATAGCAGCAACATCCAGCTGGAAGTCCTAAGAAGGTGGACAAAGTAAGTATTACTTCGAGAAAGATGATGTTCTGTACACAAAAATAAGCTAGTTGATGTTTCAATCATACAAATAAAAACTGAAAGAATGATTTGGTTAACTTTTCTATACTGTATTTACAAAAGACACCTGTTAAAAGTTTTGAAGGGTTTTCTGAGAAGGATAAAGGAAAAATGAAAAGAAATCAAATTCTAGGACTTAATGGAAGGGATTAAAAACTAAGTTAAAAGTAAAGGGAAGGAATATAAAATTGGTTTATTTGCTCAATATTAAAATAGATATGTTGTTATCCCTGATAAACCTTAATTGATCAGGAATAAATGATGAGTTTTTAAGATATTGTTTATAGTTAAGAGATGAGAAATGAGAAGAGAGCTTTTGTTGTATTTTAAGAGAATATGATAGGTTATACTTGTAATGAAGTTACTTCTTTATATATTTCTTTTTCTTTTCCATTTTCTATTTTTTTCATTTCATTTTCTGCACTTTGTAATTTTTCTTTTTAATTCTTATACATATTTTAGTTTATATTAATTTGTATCTTTTCAATTGTAATATTTAATAAAAGTATTATTAAAAATTCAAATATCTAAAATTACATAAAAGTAATGCAGTGATTTGCTTGAACTATTTCAATGTCATGTGTAAAGAGTCAATGTCAGATATAAAGCTTCTTCATTGAATATACCTGCAGTATTCTAAATGCAATCCCAAATCCTTCTTCAATGTTTTTGCCTTCCAACATGACCTGAGGAAAAATTGTAGCAGCAGGGAGAAAAGAAAAAAAGGAAAAATTTAGTGACATACAAGTGAATGAAAAGTCATCTGGAGCTTTGGGGAAAGCTCCTGTGATAACAAGGTGTTCTATTTTTTTTCCTGAATTTCAGCCATAGATTTGCCATGTTAAAACCACAATGAAATACTGCTTCTCTGAGTCACTGTTCTTTCAAATCAAAATTCACAATGAAAATGATATGTGACTTTTTGGGTTAACTTCAATAAACAATCTACATATTTTTGGTGTGGAATTCACCAATCTTTGTTCAGTATTCCATTTCAATATACAAAACCACACTAATAAGCT